CTCAAGGCAACAAGTGGAGTTAACCCTAGAGGTGTAAAGTGTGCAAGTGTGTATTTTTCATGCATTATTTTGTCTTGAATTAGGGTTTTCTAGTATTGATTTTATCTTTCCATGCAAATCCTAATTATCTAGCATTTATATTTGAAAGCGGTAAATTGTGGAATATAAATATCATACGCTATTACATCATTAGGAGACGGAGTATACAAATTTACAAATGAGGATTACAAGAAATTAAATCCTAATTATCTATTACAAACATATTGAATTTGAATAAATGTACAAGAAATAAAATAAATATAATGTCCAAGTATGAATAGATAAGGAATGGATTTTGTTTGATTTTTTTGTATGAAAAGGTTTTAATTAAAGTAAATTGAACTAATTAATTTACAAGAGAAGTTAATTAAGTATTTAACAAAACCTAAAATCCAAGTTAATTAAAATAAACTGTAAGTCTAATTTAATTGTTTAGAAAATAATTTTGGTTAATATTAATTTGGAAAAGAAAATGTTTTATAATATAAAAGAAAATAATAGAGTTTAATTTAATAATAATAAAATAAATACTTGAATTGAAATATTTAAGAAGAATATATATCTTTGTGTTTTTTAGAAAGAAAACTTTTACAAGGTACTATCTTGATTTAATTATAAATAATAAAAATAAAAATATTTTTGTGATATTTTTTTATATTCATAAAATAGAGGTGATAAATAAATAGTATTAAAAAAATCAACTCAAAAAGAGTTGTTTTGATTGGTTAAATAAATTGTTGAAGTTTGTTAAAAAATGTGAAATAAAACAAGTGATTAAAATTAAGTTTGGTCCTACCAAGACTTGAACCCAAGACATCAAGGTTGATGTCTCAAAAGATTATAACTAGGCAAGGTGTGTTTGCTCATTAACAATATGCTTGCATGACATTATATGAGAATATTGCTTCCTGAAATCACAAAATCACAAAATATAATATACAAAAGGGGGTTCACTATGGTTCGAACCCGCGCCATTAAGGAGAAAGTAACAAGAAACGTGTGTTGCTTGCCACTAGGGTGGCTGTTACATCCTATGACAAAACAACAATCATTAAATATAAAATAAACTCGTTTTTAAAATTTAATTTTTCTTTTCTTCTTCCCTACATCTATTGTTATTGTAACAACATATTTCTATTTTTTTCAAAAAATTCTAACTTCCTCATTTCTCATCCAAATTCAAAATTGTAAAAATGAAACTTGCTTAGAATTTTGCAAGTATTTCAAATATGTAATTAGTTTTTATTTATTCCCACTATAACTCATGAATTTCTACCTCTACCAAACTGAAAACCTAAATGTCCAAAAAATCCAGTTTCAAAATTCTCATCCCACAGTCAATTAAAATGAAATTTAAAGATATAGTTAGCTTCATAGACATGATATATACATTTTATTTTAAAAGTAAGTGCAATTGATGCTTGTATCAAGATTTCAAAGTTGGAAAAACCTACCTCTTGATGCAAAAATTCAATATCCTCTACACGACTTCCAGAAGCAATATGATGATTTCTTTAGCTTCCTGTGACCTTAGTGAGTATGTTGCAACTCTTACTTTGCCTTGAAAGTGTCTGGATTGGTCTACTCAAGTCAAGTTGCAAAGGTGGATTTTGAAAATGGTGGATGATGAAAATGATGTTATAGTGAGGAAATAGGGGCATGGATAGTTTCTATATGATATATATGAAGTGTTTGGATGATTTGTTTGGACAATAGTTGCAAGAGTGATGAGTTTCAAAGTTAAGGTTTCAAAAGCTTACAAATGGTGATTTTTGGCCAATTCGGGTTTAAGAGTGTATGAGAGGGTTTAAGGGCTTGTAAATTCGTGTTCTCAGTTGCATAAGAGTGTCTTGATATATAGGAAAAGGTTTGGATACTTGATATGGTCAGATTACCAAGATCACATGTTATGGTATTTTTGCTTGTTTTTGAAACAAAGTGGAAAATCAAAATCCCAATGTATGGTACAAATATGTAGAGTGGTTGAATCTCTTTAAACATGTTTCTTCTGAGTTGCTAGGTTGAGTGTGTGCAGAATGAGTCATTGAGAGGCTCAAGAAGGGTTGACACTGTGAAAAGCTTGCTTTACAATAATGGATATGTTACTTTTTGCAATTTCAACCATAAATGGTATCAAGACTTGGACAAAACATTAAATCCTTGTGTAATACACTTAGGTCCTGTGTAATTACTTAATTATGGAGAGATTTAGAAGCAACATGGCCTGAAAAGTGAGATTGAATGATAAGGTTATGAGATTTGATAATGAGTTCATCACAAAAAATGGCTTATAATTCATGTTTATCATGCCAACTACAAGTCTTCGAATCTCCTAGCTCAAAAATAATCTCTTCAAGTTCTCGCACATTTTGGAAAGCTTGAAACATCCTCTATAACTTTCATGTTGGACATTTTTGAAGAATCAACTTGGAACCATGTGAAAAGTTGCCATAAAGTTGGTACCAAAAATCTGCCTAACTAGAGCAAAATTTCACTAAGTGTTTTTCATACCATGTACATGACTTTATGAATTTATAACTTGAAATCAAAGCACTTCTAAAAAAAGTTCTGCCCTAAAATGTTTTAGATATCATTGAGATCTAAAACTTTCATATTGGAAGTTCTTCTTGAATCATCTTGCATCATGGTGAAAATTTAACATGAAGTCATGAAAAAGATAAGGTTTAAAACACTTAGAAAAAATTTTAAGTGTTGAAAACTTTGACTTTTTAAGTTGAAATTTGACTTTCTTGATTTCTTGATGATCAAACTTCATATTTTAACATGTCTTGATGAAATGTGATCTTTGAAACCTAATTTTGATTAAAAAGTCAAAGTTTGACTTTTCAGTGTACAGTTGACTTTTTCATCAGTTGATCAAATTTCAACTATCAATCAATTGGTCTTGAGAAATAATTTGAACCATGAAATTAGGTAAAGATGATGCATTTGAATCCTTGATATCATGTTTCAAGCCAATAAGTCATGTATTAGGTCAAAAGTCAAAAAATCAAGCCTCCTCAGCCAAAACCCTAATTTTGACCATTTTGCCCTTTTGATTGATCTGCTCAATTTCTTGGGGAATTGTGATCCAAACTTGATCAATTGATACATATGAGTTCAAAATGTTGATATGGGCCAAAAATCTTGAAGTTTGACTGTAATTTGGCCACTGTTGACTTTTTAACCAATATAGCTGATTTTATGTCATCTGATCAATTGACTGAACAAACTTGAACTGCAAGACATGAAACTTAACATGATAAATATTGAGGGTCTAAAATGATCCATGAAAGTCATATGAAGCATTAAAAGTCCATTTGTCCTTGTGCAAACTCAAACCCTAATTTGAGTCATCAGTGTTGAGGAAGTGTCTTTAGTTGATCAATCATTGTGCAATTTTGAGCAATTGAAGATCTTGTGAGAAATTTCTTGAGAAATGAAAGGGAAAATTTAGGGGTACAACAACGTCGAAAATTCATCAAAAGAGAAAAATGCCAAATTTCTCCGTCGAGCACGATTTTAGTCGAAATTGGCATTTTTGGGAGCCAATTTATTACCTTGGAATTTTCGACTAAACATTTGATATAATTTAAAGATAGAAACTTCGTGTAAAGAATAAGGTTTTAGGTTATTGAAGAGGATTGATGATTTGGTATTCGGATGAGTTGAAGAAATCAGATGATGTCGAAGATGTTGGAAAAGGAAGTTTTTCCCGTCTGAGTCGAACTCTTGGAGATTCAAGAATACTTAAAGACTTAATAAAATTGTGTTCACTTAAGGTTTTTAAGGCATGATCAAGGAAGTTTCAAGCAGTTATGGCAATTAGTTATCAAAGACGTGTGTAAGATTGTCAAAAGGAAGCTTGCTTGGTTTCGCAACATGGCAGGTCGTGGCGAGTCGACCGTTTCAAGTAGTTATATTAAATTTTTTATATAGATAGTGTTCATTTTCAATTTTTAAGGATCCGCATTTTGTTACATCACAAGGAAAAATATATATATGCGTTCCGTTAAATTCAAAGCAATTTATTTTTCTTTAAATATCGCATTTTGCCTTTCAATTGCATTTACTTCCGGTCTATTTACCTGCATTTCAAATTATTTGCCCAGTTTTGCATTAACAATTCAAACACCGAAACTGCATAATATTTAGCACAATGTTCTAAGATTCTGTAGTATAGATCTTACAAGTAAGTTTTAAGAAAAGACTAGTGATGATTTACTAGAAATCTTGGTAAACGATAACAAACTAGCGCTAAAAATTTATTTTTTGAACTGCCCACACACATATTTGTTCTATTTATATTATGGTGTTTAGTTGTTCAATCTTCAATGTTTAGTTTATCTCTTGCGCAAATTCAATGTTTTTTTGCTTTAATATTCTAAAGTTCAGCTTCAATATTAAAAAGAGCGAAATAGCAATAAAGAAAATGAAGAAGTCCATAAATAAAATAGGAATGTCAAAAGTTGATTAATTATTTGAGTAGTTCAAAAGTGACAATTTTCGTGTAAGTGAATATATCACAATGACGCATGTACCCTTAGTATCTTATGGTTTATTAAAAAAAGATAGTTAAATATAATTATTTTTTTTTTGATTTTATGTAAGAGAAATAATATAATGACATATGTATCCTTAAATAAATTGTCAACTTATAATAATATTAAGTAATTAATGTAATGATAATTTTGAAATAAAAGTATTAAATGTGTTGACATATTTAAAAGAGTTTTTCTTATAAATAAGGTAGGAGGAATTACATTTTACTACTTGTATTCGAGAGCAATGAAGTGTATAAAATAGAGTCTTCCAGAGTACAAAGGGCGTGTTCCAGGTGATAGATACAAAGGTCAGTGTTGCATGTCAAAATCATTCCAAACTATTACAGTCTATTGTACTAACGGATTTATGCAGGAAAGGTTGAAGAAAGAACACAGGAAAAAACACAAAAGTAAAAAATGACAGAAACTCACACTACTATAAAGGTGTTCTAACTTCTAAGCTTGTTTCCCTATAAATTTGTTTTGTTTGTGTCTTCAGATTGTATTCATATTTATATACTTGTTAGGTGGTGCGAGATGAAGACCTAGAAAAACATATTGGAAAGGATATATGTTTTGATCTTGTGGCCCTTGACAAGGTGAAAAGTTTCTGTGTTTCAAAGGTTATAACCTTTAATCATTTCAAGGTATCATCATCATCACCATCTTCATCAGCTACATTTGTATATATAGATTTTGCACTTTCTCCATCTTCAGTACCATTAGACTGATATTTAACCTGGCTTGTCAACAATCTTCCGACCTAGTTATCGCCATTCAAGGTTTTTTCTGAATCAAGTTCAGAATTTCCATTTAGTCAAAAGTTGTGTGTATACTATGATATCTGCATGAAGATGTTTAGTACACACAATCTTTGTGTAAATATAAAAATAAGGATGCTTTAGTTGGAAAAGAGTTAAATATCTCATATGCATCTTCTTGGTTTTTATGCTTTTAATTGTGTATTTTATATTGTATAGTTTGATTTTTCTGTTTTATTGTCACTATGTAGAAAAAGCTAGCTACTATGTTTGGCATACCAGCTCAATTCCAGCGCTTTTGGGTTTTTGCATGGCGGCAAAACAAGACCTTTCGTCCATCTCGGCCATTGACATACATCGAGGAATCAAGATCTGTAAAATTCATAGGATCTCTTGAAGCTTTTCTCTCATGTTTATTTTTTATGTTGAGTGTGTTTGTGGCTTTTTATATCACTCTAGTTATAATCATTGGCATAGGTACCTCTTTTACATTTGTTTATTTTTACCTTCATTTTTGCCATTTTGACTATCTTCTTTCATATCTTTAAATTTTGTAATGTATATTCATCAATTGCAACTGGTTTTGTTTTTCGATCTCATAGTTTCTTCTTTGCAATGAAGCACATCAATTTCTCTATGATTTTGTTTGTTTGTTCATTTTGGTTTCGAATTGCTGATTGGACAGTTGACAGTGGGAATCAATGAAGAATTTGAATTGGAAAGCGAAGCAGGATTAATATTGTTTCTGGAAGTGGAGCGTGGGCTGGTAAAATTTATATAACGAAGTTTTTTACTATTTTGATAACATGAAATTCAAGCATAAGACTCTGCTGACTAACCATATTATTGTATAGGATTTATGTCCCGTTCCACTTCTTTACCTGGAAAAGAATGATATATTACTTTTCTTCAAGGTGTATGATTTTGAAAAAGAGACACTACGGTACTGAATAATTTCTCCTGTGGTTTTAACTTAGGTTGGGGTAAAAGATGTATCTTAGTTGGCTTGAAACATATTTCATGTGATTGCAGTTATGTTGGAAGGCTCTTTGTGAAAAGTAGGAGTAAGCCATCAGACATTTTAGCAAGATTAAATGAAATGGCTGGTTTTGACCCTGATCAAGAGATTGAACTTTATGAGGTTGGTTATGATTTATTATTTATTCGTTATTGACTTGTACAACTTATGAAATTTAAATTTGTAGTTCATCCTTTCAAGTTGTTATAGTTCTTCAACTTATGATAATCTTTCTACGAAAGATTATCATCATTGCATATTGTTGCGTTATTTCTTGTTATTTGATCATGCGAGTGGATTTAATACTACTGCATTACTAATTTAATTGTGCTTATTTCTGTGCAGGAAATTAGTTTTAAACCAAATGTGATGTGTGAACCTGTTGATAAGAAACTTACATTTAAAGCAAATGAGGTACAATACATTCTCAGGCGCAATTTCTTTATCATTGGTTTCTTATTGATTTGTTTATATCTGAATGCAATGCAGTTAGAAAATGGTGATATTATATGTTTTCAAAAATCTTCGGCTATGGATAATGAGAAACATTTTCCTTTTCCTGATGTGCCTTCATACTTGCAATTTGTGCACATTTATGAGGTATTCTCTTTGATGTTTAATTAAAGGCAATTTGTTTCATATTATGTGATTCAAAAATCAAAATTACCTTTATTTTTTCTTCATTTTCTTGGCTTAACTTGAACTGAAGATTTTTTCCTTGTCCACCAGCTTCCTATTTCTTCCTTCAGCCAAAGAATTAGAAGATCAAAAATCATGGGGGAGCAAACCAAAATCGTTATAGCTGAAGAACCGAATGTTCACAGAAACACTGCAGCTCAATATTCAGAAGTGGACATAGAGACCATTAAAGATCAAAGTTCCAGCAAAAGCAACAATTCAAAGTTCATCATCGTAGACTCTGAAGAAGTTGATGCTTTGATAGAGGATGATGTCATTGATGTAATCGACAAAGTTTTATCAGAAGAGATCACCATTTCACTACCATCTCAGCATTCTTCCCTAGGACAAGAAGCAAGGAAACTGGATCCCAACCTCCCTCAGCAACTTCTTCAGGAATTGAGGGACATTGCCTTTAAAGAAGACTTGGTTGAAAAATTTAAAGAAGGGTGCTCTCAAAAAGTTAACTTCAACTTCACTGCCATCAAGGAAAGAATTGACGCCAACGCAGATGCGTTCACCTCTTGGCAATTAGAACATGTCAATGTTATTGTTAACCTTCTCAATAAAATTGTGAGTATGTTTGACAAACTTGAAAATTTGAAAAAAGAGCGAGTCACAGCCAAAAAGTGCACTGATGAAGATAACCAAGAATTGAAGAGGAAAAGACAGAAAATACTGACTTCAAAAATTTCCTTAACCAACAAACAAACAGAGCTCAAATCTCTAGATGCTGAAATTGCTGATCTTAAAGACAAACTTGAAAAATTACAAGGCTACAGGGTTAAAATGGTTGAAATCCAAGATCAAGAGAAAGGTAACATCACATCTTTCAACAAAGAAGTTAAATCAATTATATATCGCCTTGCTGATGATAAAATGAAGTTGAAAAGTGTTGAATCTAATATCTTAGAGGCCCAAACTGAATTAGAAAGTCATAAGAAGGTCTACAAGACCTTTAGGACAATTCCTCCATTTTGATTTATGTACAAATCAAAATATATATATAGAACAAGTAGTTTATCTCACTTTTTGTTTTCATTTTGTTTGTGTTATTTGTTGTATGTATTCTCATCGAAGGCTTCTTGTGTATCTGACATTGGTTTCTTCTTCTCTATGGAGTTTAAGCTTTTATTGTGCATCTTTATTTCTTATATTTTTCTATGCTAGGAGCAATATTGGTTAGCACCTGATCAATTTTTCGCTCCCTTGCTTCTCCATCTCCATTTTCCCATCGATAAAGTTTAGTGGTGAGCAAGTGGGGTTACGTTATTAGAATTCTATTCTCTCTGTGTGAATATGTATTATGGCTTATGTCATCAAGTATCCTTTCTCCGGGCTCATAATCTCATCAAAATGTGTCTTGTTTCGAAGAAAGGGTTGTTTAAGTTGTTTGTGAATTGATCCCGATGTTGGAACCATAACACATTTAGTCAAACTAAAGCGTACCTAGTTTTCAAGTTGGTGAACCTTTTTTGACTTGGAGAAGAAGTGTGTTCTTGCTATGTAGGAATTTTTCAATGGTTTCAATCAGGTTTCTTATTATGATCAAATGTTGAAGGAAAGAAAATAAAAGATCGATATATAGATAGATGGTCTCTAATTTTAGCCCTCATATGGAATGCTACCTTTGGGTTATTTGGTATGTCTCATAATTTTTGTTGCTTTGTTGTTCCAACCTATTTTGGTTCATTCAAAAGAGATATTTTACCCAATTTCTAAAATGTCCTTATGAAATCGGAAGTATATTTCTAGTACGTATATTTTTTGGTTAAAAATGATTGAAAACCGTAAGTATATTTGCGATTGTAAATCGGCAATATATTTCTGATTTTAATGTTGTCAGTAGCAGGAAAAAAATTAGGCATTCATATGTCATTTTTTTCTAGTTGTTTTGCATTAAATACAAAGACCTGTACAATTCATACAATCGAGACAATTAGTACAAAGCCACGCGCGCGCACGCGCATACACACACACATATATATATATATATATATATATATATATATATATATATATATATATATATATATATATATATATATATATATATATATATATATATATATATATATATATATATATATATATATATATATATATATATATATAGTGATATAACATTACACATCACAAAAACTGTTTGTGGTCGATAAAGGGATAACTCAAAAATGTAATCCAAATACAATAATAAAAAACTAGAACCAAAATACAAATACATCATCAAATATTACTGGGTATGGCAGATGATGAGTCGGCCTGTCACCCTCAAGGCATTCCTCTGCTGCCTCCTGTAACACTAAGTCTCCTGAGCCTCCGCCATGATGGCATCCAGAACACCTCTAACATCGGATCCATCAGGAAACAGACCTCTATCAATACCATCTCGCGCAATCTCCATGATACGACGACACCTAGGCAACATGTTGTAGCGATGAAAAAAATGTAGCAGAGTAAATCAGAGATCGAACTATTAATTAATTCATCTCATAAAAGCAAGAGTCGCCACCACGCTTTATTATTTCCAAGGGAAAAGGGAAAAGAGCGAAATAAAACCCTAAAATATGCAATGTAAAATAATACTTTAAAAGTAATGAAAATACAAGGCATTTTGAAAAGAGGTCTAGAGTTCGGGGGTTGGTTATACAATGGGAAGGTATTAGCACCCAATGCATCTATAGTATCCTATAGGAACCTTTTGAAATATCTGTTTATTAAAATTGTTTGTTTGTTTAAAAAATAAATTGTTTTGGCCAAAAATGGGTATGGACAAGTTTTTGAAGATACGATGACCTAACGTTGAAGTTTTGACTTAAAAGGTGTGAGTTTTGAAAAATCGAATATTTGGGAAAATTATCTTAAGTTTTTAACGAAATAATAAACGGAGGATGAATGAGGGTATTCGCACGATGTTTTTTTTTTATGACATGAAGTCGACAAAAATTAAATAATTCCCTTGGATTTAAATCACAAATAATTAAACATAATAATCGAATAAAAGTCAAAGCATAGGCACTTGTAGATCCACAAGAAAGATAGACAAACAATTAATAACAAAATAAACATTAAGAATTTATGTTAAAAGATACAAAGAAAATCAAGTAACAAAATGTAACTAAGCAACTAAGACAATATTAGAATTCACTAAAGATATCAAATTGAAATTAAAATTAAGCTAATTAAATATGTTAAATAAAATTGTCCAAAAAAAATAATTAAATTTAAACTAATTTAAATAATAAAATATATTTAATTAGAAGAAATTTTATTAATTAATTAAAAAAAAGGGACTAATTAAACTAAATTGATAAACTACTAAAAAAACTAAACTAAATAAAGATAAGGTGCAGACAAAATTATTGGGGGAGGAAGTATAATTTTCGGATGGACCTACTAATTAGAATAAGGCCCAAGGTATGTAAAAACAAAACAAATTAAAAAAAAATCAAAATAAAAACTTTACTGGGCCAGACCGAGTTAGGCTGGACCCGGATCCGGCCAGCCTAAGCAACGCAAAAGGGTAAGAAACCTTAGAGAAATCACAACACCTAAATTTTTCTTATCGTGCTCCCTCTTTCGAACTCTTTCTCTCTCTCCTAAATCGAAATCGAACAACGCCAACAACGAATCCTGCTCCCTCTTTCGAACTCTTTCTCTTCTAAATCGAAATCGAACAACGCCAACAACGAATCCTGCTCCCTCTTTCGAACTCTTTCTCCCTCTCTTCTAAATCAAAATCAAACAACGCCAACAACGAATCCTGCTCCCTCTTTCGAACT